GAGAGAGAGAGAGAGAGAGAGAGAGCGAGAGAGAGAGACGGGGAGGGCGGGGGAGCAAGGTGTGTCCGCTGCCTTGAAAATGCAGAATTAAGTCTACGCATCCTTGTATTCTCATACAAATCATAAAACAGAAAAAATAGAAATAGAAAAAAATAGTTTTATGTAGTTTAACGGTCAGATTACATATAAACTGAAGCAATAAAAACACATGGGAAATTGATTAGCCTATTTGTTACCGATTCGGGCTTGTTGCTTCCATTTCCCATTAGGCTAGTGAAAGTCTTTTTGTGTGATATCACATTTTCGTTCAATAGACTGTTTTATTTGCAGAGTCGCCCAGACAAAAGCCCATGTGGTGTTACAAAGGTCAGCATCTTCAATAAGCGGTGTTCGCTTAGGGGGGGAAAGAGGGTTCTTTCAAAGACGTGCGTTCTAAACTCACCTTAAATCTACAGATGAAGGAGACCTTTAATACTCTATAGCGATTTGTGTAAGCATGGCAAAACAGCCACATGCAACATCAGCACCATTCTCAACCGAGAGCAAACTGCGAAAATCGCTTAACACCGGAGGATCAGCGACGCGTCCAGTCCGTTTATCGCTGTCAGGCGGATTAGGGCAACGCGCAAAAGCCGCATAAAAACCCGATTATCGATTTGTCATTCGTTATGACCACAACGGACCTGTGGAAAAAACCTGGCACCTTTCATCCAGACTTACTTAACGCACCGGTGTGAGCCACATTATGCTCCATCATCAGTGTCTCAATACTTCTAGGTTTTTCCACAGCGGCAAACCGCGTGCGCGTGAAGCATTGCATGCGTCTGTCGCCACACTGCCTCGAGATTTCATGAAATTCCTGCATGCCATGCTAAAAGACAAACATAATGTAATGTAATATTCTTTAAATGAAAATAAATGGTTATTGTCTATACTGTGCGTCCATGAAAATAACTACCGGTTGGTGCGAATGCATAAAGAAAGCAATCCGTTTTATGTGCAGTTTTTCTTATCGATGCAATCTCAGAGAAATTACATGAATTTTCGTTCTTTTCTAGATCAAACTATAACGAAAATCAGGCCCGTTATGTCTCAGTCACACACCCAACAGTCGGATTCACTAACATCTTAAGACCAATACACTGTTCGCATGGGTAAAAAATGTGGTAAGGCTTAAGAGCATATATCAGTGCTTGATTAATGATGAATTGCTGTTAAATACAAGTCTTTGAGTTTGTAAACCGGTTTGACTTACCTCTGTGGCACACTGAGTTATTGTCTGTCCAACTGCAGCAGTCAGCAGTGAACAAATCCTGCCAGTTCCTTCAGCGTCCTGCAAAGGGAGGATGGCGCTAGAGAGCGAGATCAAGAACGATGTCAGGGTGAGCTCTGTGCACTACTAACATGACATTTCTATGATATTCACAACTAACCGAATGCTATCCTGTGTGTGTTACATTATGTTATATATTTTAGGGGTGTCTGCGTTGTGATCAGGAATTACCTTTACATTTACGATCTTGGCAGATGCTTTCTAACAATGAAGTAGGCTAAGGGTTTACAAACCTTTTTGATACCTTAAGCATAAAGGTGTCTATGTATTTTCATATAGGCCTATAAGTAGCTTTTTATACTGTGTGAGAAAAAGACATGGACCCCCTTAGAAACCCCCTGAATCCCTGGCAGAGACTACTAATTTAAACTTTTGTGTGAAACTTGAATAAAAAAATACTACTGTGACTACAAGGGTTTGTTATTAAAAACCAAAACAATTTATAAAAAAAATTACTTAGAATAAAATAAACATTAACAAATAAAATACAATTTGAAAATAAATGTATTTCAGCTAGTTGCCAAAGCATCATTTCTCATTTTCATTTAGTTTAACTTGCAGTGCTAAAAAAAATGCATTAAAAATATGTAGACATTTAAAAAAAGACAGAAAACACACAAAATTACTAAATAAAATGTTACTAAAATTAAAGTAAAAGCATAAAATATAACAATACAATTACATTCAAAAAATGAAAAAACTATAAAGTATGTAAATGATAGGCTACTAAAATAACACTTTAATGCACGGGTGTCCATACCTGTTCCAAGGCTAAATCTCAAATATTTTATTTTTTACTTTGACTTGGAAATATGACATCCATTCTCGTTATTTTGAACTGGTTCTACAGTAAGTCTTAGACATTTGGGTCAGATTTTTGCTGATTCACTGCACAACGCAGCAAGCTAATATATTACTGTTTTAAAAACAGTGTGATTTTATGATCAACCCCTATATATTTTCACAGTCTAATCTTAACAGACATTCATGATACACACAAGCTCTCACTCACACACATTGCACCATCTGCCCCCCACCAAATTCAGCTATATTCCCCTGAGTTACATACCAAGCCAAGTCCTTCACCTGGGACAGCTTCACATTAACAGTAAGAGTCCTTGTGCTCCTCTGTTTCCCCGCTGCACAACCTGCTGCTGTTTTATCCCAAAAGACAGAGAAATTGCTAGATCAAATGTAAATTCCTCCTCCTTCCTATTGCTAAGCAAGTTATCTTGAACTCTTACATGCAAAAACAATACTATAGATTATCTTAGAATACTGTATGAAAAAGAGCGATGCTGTTGATGTTCTCAATGTCCTCGTGTTCTTCAGATGTGTGAGATGCTCTTCTGAGAGCGCTTGGTTGAGGTTGGGCTTGGGTGGGAGTTGCTCAGCAACTAGCCCACATATGAATGAGTAGGCATATTTTTTTTTAGATGTTTTCTATGCGAGACAGCTAATGGCCTGATAGTGTTTGTTGCACTGACTTGTCTTCCTGGGTTGGATTTTTAACCCCTCTTTATTTCAATATGTTTTTATACATCAAACTTTAATATTTCAAATGATGATATTGTTGCAGTCTGGCTGTTACAAACACTTTTGGCCATTAGATGGCGTCTCAGCCTTGTCAATATGACTGGTTGTCTGTTCTTCTTCAGGACTGAGGTAGTTGATTTTTTTCTTCAGTAGAAATCTGACTTTTTGATATTAATGAATGCACATTCAAAATAAAAATACATAATAACATTTTATAAAATCCATTTGTTACACCTTGCCATTGTTAGCTTCACTTATCTCAAAACATTCTAAAATTGTAATGTAATAAACAGTATTATAATATATTTTTTTATAATAGCACTTGAGTATGTTGAAATGATGTAATTTTATGTAAATTTATTAATCGCAACTTAGGTAAATGCATGTTTTTTCCCAGAGCAATACAAAATATATCCTGAAAAATATTTACTGAAATAAAACCTGTGACAACTAGTCTCGCGAATACATGTCAGCTTTCGTTGGCCAAAGCCCGCCCATGAGGCCGTTTGATCGACATGTCAAACAACCAATCACAGTTCGTTTCGTTTCAGCGTCACGTTTCGGGGCGTGGAAATGTCGCCACAATAACAGACCGGTGTGTAAAACTCTCGGACGTATTTGAAAGATTCTGTGCCGCGAACTTTAAATATTTCACATACTTTTGAAAATCCAGTGTTTAGTTGATCCTGATAAGCGCTCGTCGTCACAGTTGTAAACACGACGGCTTTCTTCTTTCATGAGGGGGTTTGGCGTCACGGCCATCTTTGTTTCCAGGCGGAACGTTAAAGAACGCGACACACACGTCTCCCGGAAATCCTGTATAATCTAACCAATCCGATGACGACTTCGAAACTCCTGAAGTGTTTCCACTTTTGTGTGCCACATGCATCAGACCTTTAGCCAACGTTCCGTGGGCGTGACGTCTGAGGCTGAGACTATGTGACTACTAGCCCCTGTCTCCACTATAACAAAACATGAACAAGATATTATAGGGTGACCATACGTGCCATTTTCCCAGGACGCGTCCTGGGAAAATGGCACGTATGGTCACCCTAAGATATTACATATTGGTAAGACAACACTAGTTCATTTTTTCAGTAGCTATCCTCTTGTTTTTGGTGTTGCTGCAAATCTGTTTCAAGAGAATGTTACACTATGACTACATGGGACTATACAGGCCATAGTCAAACAAAATGAACTGAACATTGCTATTCCAACTGTGAATATAAAGGTATCCTGGCAACAAGGCAGGAAGTAGCAGTTTATTTCTGGCTGTAAATATATTTAGCATGAAAAACTTCACAGTAATCCAGCAGCTTTGGGCTGCAACTGAGAAGAATCCCTTCTTGTACTGCTGCTGATAGATCTTTGCACATCTTACCACTCCATGTCAGTAACACAATAACCTACTCTGCCTCAGCGTTTCTCAATCCTGCTGGACACAGCTGAAGCTAATGTGCTATTTATGAGTCATTGTGTTGAAAAATCAAAGGAGATGCTTGCGTCCCACAGCCTAACAATAAGGGAGACAAATGACAGCATCTCCGTTGCCATGAGCCACAAGGACACACAGAAAAAATACAATAGCCTTTGAATGGAGAGCTGTTCTGGTCTGTAAATTAACACTTGCCAGCTGTGGACCCACACATGTCTATTACTAATCCATGAGAATGAGCTGTCTGTAATGTAACCATGTGTGTATACACAAATTGTGGGTAATTTTATTCACCTAGCCTCTCTGGAATAGGCTACCCTGATTCTGATTGGACAATCATGGCATCCAGTGGTCAGATATTCTGGTCACACTGTATAATATCAGACTGTTTGTTGGGGTAACTGAAACTGAATCTAAATTCATGTCTCTATTTTCACACCGGTGACCGATTGTTTTATACAAACAACTGGTGACAGTCATTGACTGCAGTGAAAATAACTTTTTGTCCCTTGCAGTTAAAGGGGTCATATGATGCTGCTAAAAAGAACATTATTTTGTGTATTTGGTGTACACAAAAGGCCTATTTCTCTCAAGTGTTGTTCACAAATCTGTCTAAATCTGTGTTAGTGAGTTTTAGGTAGGTGTGGCTAACTCTTAACTTTTATAAAGAATATCTCTTTGGATTTGAGACTTTAGTCTTTGCAACTTTACATATCTTCTTTATGCACCAAGAGCTTGTAACACTCTAAAGAGAAAGGAAAAAATGAAATCGCATCATATGACCCCTTTAAAATGTCTTGTTGCTATAGGGCAATTATTTTATTCAGTGCACTCTCAGAAAAACAGGTACAAAATCTGTCACTGTGGAGGTATATTTTCAAAAGGTGCACGTTTGTACCTTTTAGATACTAATATGTACTAATTAAGGTACCAATATGGAGTTTTTAGGTGCAAATGTGTATCTTCTAAAGAGGTACCGACCCAGTGACAGCTTTTGTACCTTTTTTTCTGAAAGTGTGTAATGGACAACTTTTTTCTAAGTGGTTTTAGAATAATATATGGGTAAAATGGTAAAATAGTTTGAGCTCAAATCAATATTTAGATATTTAATTCTGTACTAACATGGGATAAAGTGAGAAAATTAACAGTTAGCCGTTCACTGTCGCAAAATAAACCTCTTCATGAAGAAACAAACATCTGAGCATCTGTTGTATAAAAATTCTGGAAACTACATTAATCACACATAGGTCACAGTATGTGATATTTTTGGTTTACTCCATCTATATCACATCACATTTATGACATAAACACTTTATTTAAAAGCATTTACCAAATGACTACTAACCAAAATGCAACTCTAGAGGATCTAAGAAACCTTCTTAGAAGAGAAACGTTTTACACATGTAATGTGAATTTCCTCTTGTCGTTCATCCTGTCTGAGCTGTAAATCTGTAATTCACACCGACACTGGTGATCCAGAGGCTTTTCTCTTTCCAGCTGTTGCTGTAATCCATTTTTATAAGAAATCTGCTCCAGCTGTGTCTTATAAAGTAGGTAACTGAGGCCGTTGAGGCAAGGTCCGTTTTAATTTTGATGTTTGTTTATTTTTATACCAACTGACAGTGAGTTTTAGACTTTGTGGATGTGCACTGACACATAAAAAGTCCTTGACATAAGTTTATGAGAAAAAATCTGTAATGTTACAAGCATTCAGTAGCCTAATATACCAACAAATGCATTGGAAGTAAATGCATGACATTTTAACATACAATTTGCGAGGGAGTTTGCTCTTTGCAACGCATTACAAAATAATTGTTTAGTTTGATGTTGTAGAAAATCTGTGCAACACAAGTAAAAAAAAAATAAAAATCTCATACAGGAAAACTAGTTCAAGGGCATTAGAGAGCGTAGAGCTGGGCTGAAGGACTGTTGATAACTGCAAAGGACAGTGTAGTGCCTAAAAGGAAAATGTGAGACAATCAGATTAAATTAGAACGTCCTTTCTCCATCTATATCCTAATTGGAAACAGTATCAAACATCATTGCATTTAAAATTCATAATCACCTGATCTGAGCTCTTTCATTTATCCAGCCATGATGTGTTTAACAAACGCTGTGGGAGAAAAGGATAAAAGGACAAGATTAAATGATAGAATAATATATAGAATATATTAGCTTTAGCTTTTCAAATTTGGAAAATGGTCACACCTTCATAGTTGACACAGCCGTTTCCATCTTCCTGTCCTGCCATCAGCTGTTCTACCTCTGATTCTGTCATTTTCTCACCTGCAGGCACGACATGTGATAGTCCGTGCTTGTTTCTGGCAGCGTTAATCTCAAGGTACAGGAAATATGTAAATCCAGGAGTCAAACACAGATTTTTTAAAGCTGCTTATGTTCCAATAAATCTCTTCTTAATTTAACAAAGCACTCATTGGGTTTGTTAGCAATACTGTATCATGGTGTAAGAGCTGTTGTGTAGCAGTGTTTTGTATTCACCCAATGTTGCAAGTACATGGCGAAGTTCGGCGCCCATTACAGTGCCGTTCCCTTCTTTGTCAAACACCCGCAGGCCCTCAACAAAGTCCTCAAAAGTGCCTTGATCTTTGGACCTGGACACGTGTTGGAACATAGGCAGGAAAGTTTCGAAGTCAATCAACTTGGTGTTCATTTCTAGAAAAAATGGATATTAGAGACACATTAAAAATGTATTCATGGTTTAGCCTGCTGTCAAGCACAGTTTATTCCTCTCACCGTCAGGTTTGGGTTTGCCAAGTACTTTGAGCACCTCTGCATTTGTAGGATTCTGACCCAATGCCCTCATGACATCACCACACTGGGCGTAAGTGATCTTCATTTCACCAGAAGGAGTTCTGTCGAATAGCATGAAGGCCTCTTTAAATTCTGTGTGGATAGGATATTGATATGTAATATTAAATGAGGAAGAAGTATGAAAAAAATGTCAATTCAGGTCTACTTGGTTTCGCAAATGCTTACCTTCAATCTGATCAGCTGTAAACTCAATCTGGGTGGAAAAAGATTTTATGGAACTTCTATAAGCAACTTGAACGTCCAAACAATGTATAATAGGCACAACAACAATGGAAATACAGATGTTTTAGTTCTCTAAAGAAGCTTTCCATTCAACAAAAGTCAGCTGTTCCTCACCCATTGAGACTAAGAATAACAGACGTCTGTTCTAAGACCAGAGGGAATTACAGTGAAACCTCATCCTTACTGTCCACATGAGAGAGAGACTCACTCAGACAACAGAACAGGAATGTTAAACTGTAATATGGCATCTTGCAGACACCTGCATGGAAGCTCTTTTATACTGACCTCAGGCGAGCTTCAATTGTCCAGACCCCATCACTGACCATCAGGTTAGTTAAAGTTGCATATGTGGTCTCAAATCAATATGAAGAAACATTTATGTCTTCACATAGAGTAGGTACTCAACTGAGACTGGGGTTTTAAAGCCTAAAGTTTGTGTGAAACCTTTTAACCTTATTTGATTGATTTGAGCCATGTTGTTCAGGGCACATAATGTCACATATTTTAATAACAAGGTTAAAGACCAGTCAATATACAAATGTTTTTAACTCAACACAGCCAGAAGGTGGGATGTCTAAGTCCTATTGAAGCTTATTTTTGCCACAGAATAAAAATATAAAACGGGTAATTGCATGCAACTTTTTATCTCGCACTTGTGAGTTTATATCTGATGTTTATATCCATGTGACATACCCCTGATGTCACATGGATTATTTTACAGATCTCCTTGCTACGTTTCTGGACTTGGGAACATTTCAGTTGTGTTGCTGTCTATGCAGGGTCAGACAGCTCTCAGATTCCATCAAAAATATCTTAATTTGTGTTCCGAAGATAAACGAAGGTCTTACGGGTTTGAAACGACATGAGGGTGAGTACGCTGTAAAAAATAAGTGTAATTTTAACTGTAAAATTTTGTAAAAAAGCTACGGGAAAAAAATGTTAATAGGTTAACAGTAAGTACCCGTACTATATACAGGGAAAAATTGTAAAATATCTAATATTACAGTAAAATGCTGTTAATTTTACAGTTTTTAGAAGTAAAAATAACAAATCAATGTATAATTTACAGTCAAAAACTGTAAACTGACATTCCCAGAATTCCCTGCATGACACTCCACATTTGAAAGTATTTTGTTTAAATAATCATGTTTTTTTAATAGTTTTTGTTATTAGTTATGTATATTTGGACTTTATGTTACATCTTCTGTTGTTTAATGAAAGTTTAATGCATTATTTAAGTATCATGTGTGTTACCATGATGGTGTTTTGTGTTTGCATGAATGACTCTGTGCACCTTCTATATATTAGTATATACTTCTGCTTGTGGCGAAGCTACTTGTGATGAGCTTTGATTCTTCATGTGGCTTTCTCTTTTACCACCTGCATTATTATGGTGGTTGTCAGTATGTTAAAGGTACAAAACAGATTTTAATAGCAGTGTGCATTGTTGAATTTACTGGTTTACATTCAAATTTTCTTGTTTGTAAATTAGTTTTATACTGTAAAATTTACAGTTTTTGGCCGTAAATGTGTTTAGTTTTTCTGTATTTTTTACAAAATTATTCTGGCAACCACAGCTGGCAAAATTATTTTGTAAAAACTACAGAATTTTTTTTACAGTGTAATTAATGACAGAATTTTCATTTTTGGGTGAACTATACATTTAAGGTTTAAGCTTACCTCCTGATGACTTTAGGGAAGAAGTTACTTTGTCTACTCACTTGTGTCTGCTCACCATGATGGTCTAAAACTGGGCAGCTATTAAAATAGCAATACCAACAAAGAACCATACAGCAAGTGTACTTACCTTAATGCTTTTGGGGTCAAACTGAGGCTCCTTGGGTTTTTCTGGTTCAGGAGGAGGCGCTGGCTTTGCCGCCTCCTTTTTCGGTTCAGCTTTTTTAGGAGCCATTCTTCCACCAAAATGATGAGCAAGAGGGTGTGAGATGGGGAATAGGAATGAGAATTACCTTCGAGAGGTTTTATACCCATCTCAATGCTTCAGCAAGGTTGGTCCATCCCATCATCACCCGCCAAACAAGGACAGAAAGCTTACGGGTTCACAAGCCAAACCCCTGAGATGGGCACATGACGGATGAGAACCAGTAAACTGCCTTCATCACTGCTATGCATTCAGCCAATATTCATAATTTATAGTTTGTAATTATGCTCTCAAAGTTTTAAACTAGATATCTAACTCGTAATTGTTTTGGCGAAGCAAGTTTGGCTCTCTTTTCTAGGAAGATCTTGGGTTAATCAGGCAGCTCCTGGGTTTACCTTTGAGGAGAATGGAGCTCCAAATTTGGCTCATGCACATTGTTTACATGTTTAATGAAGGTTATTTTCTGAAATCTTCAGCACCGCTACTAGCAACAAACAAAACAAAACAACCTTTTTTTAAACAGGTTTCTCAAACATTCCCCATCTACCACTGGTTACTCTCTGCATATTAATCTACAATAAACTTCAAATATTGCACACTTCACTTTTAGTTCATTTCCAACTAGAATGATCAAGAAAACAACTGAAATAATTATATTATCCCCTGGTTACTTGTTGTGAGTTTCATCAGACAGACCTCATTCTGTCTTTATGAGTTTCAAGAGATCAAGGGAATTATTAAGAATAAACACCTTATGTCTTGTTTTGCTATGAACAGCAACTGCTTTTTTAACCCCTGAGGTCTGTCATTCAGGCGCCTGGAGCAGACACTAGTTTAAAGAAAGGAGAGAACAAAACAACCTTTTTTTAAACAGGTTTCTCAAACATTCCCCATCTACCACTGGTTACTCTCTGCATATTAATCTACAATAAACTTCAAATATTGCACACTTCACTTTTAGTTCATTTCCAACTAGAATGATCAAGAAAACAACTGAAATAATTATATTATCCCCTGGTTACTTGTTGTGAGTTTCATCAGACAGACCTCATTCTGTCTTTGTGAGTTTCAAGAGATCAAGGGAATTATTATTATTATTAAACACCTTATGTCTTGTTTTGCTATGAACAGCAACTGCTTTTTTAACCCCTGAGGTCTGTCATTCAGGCGCCTGGAGCAGACACTAGTTTAAAGAAAGGAGAGGCATCCACCTGGTCACCTCCTGCCCCAGAAGGAAGAAATAAAATATGAACAATACAATTATGTGTGTATATATACACTGCCGTGCAAAGGTTTGGGGTCAGTAAGATTTTAAAAATGTTTTTGAAAGAAGTGTTTTATGCTCACCAAGGCTGCCTTTGTTTGATTAAAAATACATTAAAAACAGTATTATAATAAAATATTATTGTAATTTAAACTAACTGGTTTCAATTGTAATATATTTTAAAATGTAATTTATTTCTGTGATGGCAAGGCTGGATTTTCAGCATCATTACTCCAGTCTTCAGTGTCACATGATCCTTCAGAAATCATTCTAATATGATGATTTGCTGCTCAAGAGACATGTCTTATTAATTAACAGTGTTGAAAACAGTTGTGCTGCTTAATTTTTTGTATAAACCGATATTATGATATTAAACTGATGACTATCTGTCATCAATCTGTCATTGTTTACGGATTCTCATATTGTTCCAAACCTGTATGACTTTTTCATCAAGATATTTTGAGGAATGTGCTGGTTTTTTTCCCATACAACAAAAGTATACAGTGACCAGGGACTATAAAGCTAATAAAAGGACAGAAAAACACACCATAGATGTACCATAAAAGTGGCCCAATATCATGTACACTGTGTAAAAAAAAAAAAGAAAAAAAAGACAATACCATTTCAGACTTTACACTTCCAAATTTCATGTTAAATTCAATGTGTTACTTGTGTGAAACTCTGAAATTTCTGAGTGAAAATTGTTTCGACAGCAATATTTTTTTCAGTGTAAACTGCTGTATATTCCAAGTCATTTGATTTGAAGGTATATATCGAAGGCTTTGTGTGAGGAATGGACTGGAATTTAAGGCATTATCCACTGGTAATCTGCTCTCAAACCTCATTTGCCCCTGGTGACAAAAAATAATAATAATAATATGAGTTTGGAATAAAATGATGGTGATGAAATAATTATAATAATTAATAATGTGTTACATTTATATAGCACTTTTCTAGGGACTCAACGCGCTTTACATTGTGAGGGGGGATCTCCTCATCCACCAGGGACTAAAGGATGACAGAATGTTAATTTCAGGATAACTATATAATGCTTCATTAAAACTTTTAAGTATCCATTAATGTATATTTTATTCGTTTGCATCTGCATGCATATAATGCCACAGAAAATTCAGTAACCTGACCTGCAGCTCAGTCTGAAACTCACCTTTCAGATTTTCAATCTATACTCTATTCCCGTTCAATGCTGCATCTGTCACTCTACATGCTCTGGTGTAAATCCCTTAAGCCTTTAGTGAATCACATAACAATAGGGGTGATGTAAACTCCTATAACTCATCCAGTATCTGCTTGCATCTGGACAGTGCTGTGGACCCTTCGTTTTTGCTGTGATTTCATCTCTTCTTTCTAGGTCTCCCTCTGTGGGATGTCCATCTCCAGACACAGAGAGACAGGGCTGTTGGGAGTGTCTGGTTTCATGTTGTCCTACATGAACTCTCAGTGACAGTGTGGGAGGAGAGATGTGTTTCCAGGATGTATGTATGTGCATAGATTACAAGATCCGTTACTTCACTGGATTGAGAACTTTGTATAACTCACGCAGCCTGACCCATTAATTGTGTATCATGCCATGATGAGTAACTCAATTAACTATTGTTGTCTGAGAGAAAAATGATGGTTGCACTGTGTAAATTTTGTGATGAGTGATTTACCTTGCAGCAGCAACAGTTCCTTGAAATAGATAACAATAATAAAGTTATAGTTAAAGGAATAGTTTATCCAAGAATGAAAAATTGCTTTTACTCACCCACAGGCCATCCAAGATGTAGTTGAGTTTGTTTTTTCATAACAGATTTGGAGAAAGTTAGCATTACATCAATTGTTCATCAGAGGATCCTCTGCGGTGAATGGGTGCCGTCAGAATGAGAGTCCAAACAGCTAAAAAAACATCACAAGTAATGTAAGTAACTATAGACTGACTGGTATTTTGGAAAGAAGCAATGGTTATTAAAATGCCTTAATGATTTGTTTCTTACAAACACATAGCTTTTCACTTTACAAGCCATTAATTGATTGGACTGGAGTTGTGTGGATTACTTGTGGATTATTGTGATGTTTTAGCTGTAACTGCAGAGGATCCATTGGTGAGCAAGTGATGTGATGCTAAATTTCCCCAAACCTGTTCTGATTAACAAACAAACTCATCTACATCATGGATGGCCTGGAGTTGAGTACAATTTCAGCAAATTTTCATATTTGGGTAAACTATTCCATTGAAATAGGCTACTCCAACAAAGAATAGAATAGAATAACATTAATACATTTAAAAAATGATCTATGACAAATCTGGACTTCTGAATCAAATCTCATCATTTGCAGACGTGATTCTCTTATCTACAAAATTGCTTCCTTTATCTACAGTCTTTCTGTTTATGCTCCACATGAGGGCAGCATTAATTAATTGTGGAAGCTGCTGATGCTGATTTGCTTTTGATTATTCAAATGGGCAAATGATATTTGAGAATTGAAGGTGAACGCTGCAATTTACATAAATTTTACAAGCTCTGTTTTCAATATATCTGTCTCTATCTATCGATATATTTCTAGACATATTATTATTATTATTATTGTTGTTGTTATTATTATTTTAAATAGGCTATGGGCTTTTTCAAGACAGCGAGTGGATAAGATGCTGCTCTGTTATATCCAGTTTAGTGTAATTTCTATTAACAAAATAAGTTTAAACCAGGATCTATATTTTTAGGCCTGGTTTCACAGACAGGGCTTAGACTAAACCAGGATTAGGCCATAGCTCAATTAGGACATTCAAGTAATTTTTATAAAC